ATGCAGGTGTTTCTCAGCGGTCACACGGTGCATTGGCTAGTATGAGATTCTTCATTTTTGGGGAGATTGAGATAGAGATGTGGCAGTGTCATGCCAACTCATGTGCGAGTGGGAGATGTTAGAAATTGGGCGCCCATGTGGCATGACCCTTTGAACCCTTTGAACCTTATCCAAGTAATTTTGAATTTGAATTCAAAACTTATTTGGATAACCATTCATGATATCTATATCTATCATATCAACTGATATGGATAGATTGATATATATGGTTATATATCAGATTATATGGTTAAGTTATATATTGATATCATATACGTTATGTGATTTTTACCCATAACCTTTTTTCCCAGACTCTCTCTCTAACTCTCTCCCATATGAGAACGATCCAGCCTCTACACTGTGACTTGTGTGGGTGATACTCATATTGTAGTATCACTCCACTGCTGGGTTCGTTGTTCGCATTCTTGAAGCACGTGATTTACCCATGAGATTCTTCGCTTCAGGTTCTATCACCTAAGGTATGATCTGATAATATTTTTCCGCTGCGTTATGCTTAGTTTTACATTGACATATTTAAAAACTTCTTTGGAGACAATTGAAATGAATTAACAAACTAAAACTTGTATTTAAGAATTGAAATTTTTATTGATTATAGATTATAAGAATCAAAATCAGAACAAAAGTGACAAATTACAATATGGAAGAACTATTCCTATATAACCGCCACTCTTAGTTTCACAAGTGTTGTGAATGGGTTTGATTAGACTTCTTGTTTTGAATTCCTAGCTTTTGTTACTTTGCAGTGGCATTACCTGTTGTGGCTACTTGTCCCACTTTAATGCATGTTAGCATACTCTCTCCACTATCTGAAAAGTTGCTCCGCTTGTTATAACTGCCTCCTCGTTGATTGTCTTCTTCACTTAATCACATGTCTTGCACATTTATTGAATCAAGACACCTGCCACTTTGTAAGCCTTTAACCTAGACTTAGGGTTGCAAATGAGTAAAACTCTATTTGTGGTGAATAGGTTTAAGCTAAGTTCGGTAAGGATTCGTTTGAAGCCCATTTGTTAAATTTTTATTGAGTATAAACTCATTAAAAAACTTAATAAATAAGCTTAAACATACTAAAGTTTGGCTCATTAGATTGACTCATATTTATTTAAATAATAGAATAAATATATTATTTATATATTAAATAATGTAAAAATATATATAAAAATATGATAAATATGTTATTTATATATTTAAATAATGTAAACAATAGCTAAATTTCTTTATAAGTAAATAATAGTTAACTATAGATAATACATTTATATAATGGTGTTGTAGATATTATTATTTTAGTAAGATATTGACTTTTTCTTAGTATGTTTATATATATTGTATATGTAATTGTATAATCAAAGTTTCAATTGTAACTTTAATCTCATATGCAAGTATGAATTTACAACTTTTTTGGCTTGTTAAGACTCGTGAACAGACTCTAACTCGAGTCAAACCTAAACCGACTCGGCTCGAACTCGATTCGTTAAATTTTTATTGAGCTCAAACTCACTAAAATTTTAACAAATAAGTTCAAATATAGTGAAGTTCAACTCGACTAGATTCGTTTATAACCTTACTTGGACCTCAATCAAAAGCCTGAGTCACATCATCACCTCGATCGACAGGCCAAATTCAATATCTTAGTACCAACAATGGTGTTTCGTTTTGGCTCATTAATTTTTTTTTTAATTTTTTTTTTATGACTGAAAATGATTTAGCTATAACATTTGCGATAACCAACACTACAAATGTTATAACTTGCTTATAATACACACATTTTTTAGGATGAATATACTAGAATAACCCCAAGAAGAGATTTTCTTTAAAAAAATAAATAAATATTATGTCACTTCTTTTTTGTTTTGTTTTGGTTTTTTTTTTTTTTTTTTTTTTTTTTTTTTTTTTGAACAGCAAAAACAACCCTTTATTGATGAAAATTGCCAAATAGGAATTACATCAAGAAAAAGGAAGAGGAAGTGCAAAAGGCATCAAAGCAAACCGCACGATCCCAACTAGGTTGGCACCGCGAGGAAAGCCCAATCATTTGCCAGCACACCACAAGGTTAAAGAGAGAACAACCACAAGATACACAAAAACCAAAACACCAAAAATCACCAACAAAACTCCCCTACAGATTCCTGTGTTGGTAGAATACCTCCCAAACCAAAACTAATGAACTGATGCACCAACAAGGAATTCCCAAACCAAAACTAATGCCTTAGAGTAGAAAGACAATCGTGTTGCCAAGAAGAACAAGGAATTGGATGATAAACTGATGCACCAACACAGCAACCATCAAACATGTACCAACAGTCTAGCAGCCCTGCCTGCTTAGAACACCCTCAGATTCCAACAGACAACTAGCAGACCAGACACCATGCAACCACACTCCAAAGCAATATACACAAAAACAGAAAATAGCAGGTGATTCGCACTATCGCTACTGCAGAACAGACTTACTCACCAGCAGTCCAGCAGACCAGTACCATGCACCAGCATCAGACCACCAGTCCAACAACTCTGCCTGCTTAGAACACCCTCAGATTCCTATAGATTTCTATGCATACAGATCCCAGACCTCACACCAATGCAAAACCAGCAGACCTGACATCAATGCAACCACACTCCAGAGAAATCAAAGCCAAAACAGAGCAATATACAGCAGAATCTGGGATTAAATAGAGACTGACCAAACAAAACAAAAAATAGCCGGTGGTTCATACTAACCCTACTGCAGAACAGGCTTACTCAGCCAATACCCCTACTGCAAAACCTTACCTGTTGCAGGTGGTTCACAATATCAGTTACTGAAAACCTTGAGAAAGAAGAGCCAGCAGCTTTGCTCCGCATCGCAATTCGCACTTTGATGACCTCACATAACTCCTCAAAGTTTGGATGAATGCCATTAAAAATGCAATCATTTCTCAGTTTCCAAATGGACCAAAGCACAGCCAGAGGCATGGCTTTCTAGACCACCCTCTCTTGTTTTTTCATCCTTGTACCAGCCCACCATTCTAATAAACAATGCACAGTACCAGGTTGAGCCCACAGTAACCCCCACCAATTTAGCATATGTGACCAAACCTTCTAAGCAAAAGGGCAATGCAGAAGCACATGATTGACATTTTCCACTCCTACATTGCAGAAAATGCAATTCACATTAGCTTCAACAGAGAGCACTTTAATTCGCTGCAAAAAACTGGAAGTCTTTATCCTCCCTTTCCATGCCAACCAACCAAAGAATTGAGCTCCAGGTGAAGATACATTGTTCCATATAAGGTCAATTACCTCACTCATTGCATGTAAGGAATTATCACACCACTTATAAGCAGAGGAAACAGTGAAGTTTCCTGATGGATCTGCATTCCAATGCAAAGAATCAGCCCTATCTTCCCTAAGATCTGGAGCATTCATCAGTAGCCATTTCAATCTATTCAAATCCTCTACCTCCCACTGAAAGAGTGATCTTCTGAAATTAAGGTTCCACTCCACCTCGCTATTCCTTCTAAGATGCATCACATTCACAGATTCAAACTTATCCAAAGACAAGGAATAGAGCCTAGGGAAAGCTTCCATCAAGCATACATTATTACACCATGTACATCTCCAGAACAGAGTGCTTTTCCCATCCCCAAGCACTGGAGTAGAGTTTTCTTTAAAGAATTCCATCAACTCGGGTCTGATTCGAGCAACACCCAAAATGCCATCCCAGATACATGAGTTCCTAGTGTTATCAACAGGTTCTGGACACCACCCAACACCCACCTGATTGTATTTGTTATGGATCACCTGTTTCCACAGAGCATTAGGTTCAGCCCCAAACCTCCACCACCATTTCAACAAGAGACAATCATTCATAAGTCTAATCCTTTTTACCCCTAAACCCCCCTGCTGTTTGCTTTTTGAGATGACCTTCCATTTGACCAAATGTATTTTCCTTCTAGAGTCATCCCCTCCCCAAAGAAAATTAGATTGAATTGACACAAATTCCTTAGCAACCCTTGCTGGTATTTTGAACAAAGATAGATAATAAATGGGTAAGCTTGACAACACATATTTAATCAAAGTCACCTTACTAGCAAAAGAGAGGAATCTTCTCTTCCAAGAAGCAAGTCTTTGTTTGCATTTAGCTAACACTGGCTGCCAGGTCCTTTTTGACCTTGGACTTGCGCCTAGAGGAAGATCTAAGTACTTCAGGGGCAACCTTTGATGTAGACAATTGAGCTTATCAGCAAAATCCTTGGATGTTTCATCTGTTAACCCAACTCCACACACCACACTCTTGTGGTAGTTAATTTTTAGGCCTGACAACACTTCAAAACATCTCAAGATTCTCTTTATGTTAATAACCTCCCCCCTATCAGCTTCACAAAATAGAATTGTTTCATCTGCAAATTGCAGGTGGGTGATCCTAAATGCACTTGATCCAACTGTTGCCCCTTTGATCAACCCTATCTGATTTGCTCTTACTAGTAGGATATTTAGGCCCTCAGCCACAATGTTAAAGAGAAAGGGGGATAGAGGGTCACCTTGTCTATGACCTCGTTGCGGGCTAAATTCTGAGGTTGGTGAACCATTTACCAAAATAGAGACTCTGGCTGATGAAACACAGTCCCTCATCCAACTAAACCATTTAGCCCCAAAGCCAAAATTTGAGAGCATAATAAACAAGAAATTCCAATTGATTGAGTCACAAGCCCTTTCAAAGTCTAGCTTTAGGACAATGCCACTCTTTCTACTCTTCTTCCAGCCATCCATAATCTCATTGGCTATCAACACCCCATCTAATATGTTTCTGCCCCCTATGAATGCTGATTGTGTAACACTAACAATTCGAGGCAAAACTGTTTTGATTCTGTTTGCTAATAATTTAGCCAAAATTTTATACAAAGATCCAATGAGGCTAATAGGCCGGTAATCATTCAAACTAGAGGAGTTCTCATTCTTAGCAATCAAAGCAACAAAAGAGCTATTAATGCCTCAACAAGTTTTGTATTTTGGTGAAATTCCTTCATGAATTGCAGCACATCTGCCTTGATGACCTTCCAACACTTTTTAAACATCATATGGTTAAACCCATCTGAACCAGGTGCTTTGTTTCCTTCACAACTTTTAACCGCAGCTTCAATCTCAGCTTTTGAAAACTCAGCTTCCAAGAGCTGGACATCTTCTGTACCCCCAATGGATAAGAAAGGCCCAGATAGCCTCGGTCTAATACGCGATGATTCAGTAAATTGGTTAATAAAATGTTGTTGAACTGCAGCTCTTACCTCCATAGGATCCTCCTTAACAATTCCATTAACAACTATTGAGCATAAAGAATTTCTGGTTCTCCTAGAGCTGGCCATAATATGGAAAAATTTTGTGTTCCTGTCTCCTTGTGTTGACCACTTGATTCTAGATTTTTGTAACCATGCCCATTCCACCATTTTACTTAGTTTCCAAGCGATGCCTTTAGCCTCTCTTCTTCTAGCTTGCTCTACTTCAGATAAAGGTCTATCTTCAGCACTTAAATCAAGTGCATGAATCTCCTCTTCAACTTGATTAAGTTTATGCTCCACATCACCAAAGACGTCTTTATCCCACTGTTTCAAAGCCAATTTTAATATTTTGAGCTTCTGGAGACACTTGAAACTAGCCCATCCCACCACATTAGCTTCTAGCCACGTATTCTCTACAAAGGGCCTAAACTTCGGATGTAGGGTCCAAGCATTTAAAAATCGAAATGGAGTTGGACCCCAATCTCTCTCATCCTCCATCAACAGAATAGGACAATGATCAGAGATCATCCGAGGCAGCCCCCAAAGCTTAAAGTTAAACATTTGCAACCATTCTGGATTGAGCAAGAACCTGTCAATTCTACTCCATTTCTCTCCCTCCTGAGAGTTACACCAGGTAAATTTTCTTTCCATCATAGGTAGATCAACCACTTCAAAATTATCAATTAGCTCATTAAACTCCCTTATCCCTTTATCTCACCTAGAACACCCCTTCCTTTCTGATATTTCCTTGATCTCATTGAAGTCCCCTCCCAAGCACCAAGGTTTACTGTAGACCAACTTTAATCGAACCAAGCTATCCCACACCACCTTTCTCCCTCCCCAAATCATTTGGACCATAAATATTTAAAATCACACAATCAAAATGTTGTAGAGAGTACCTGATAAAATTATGAAGTTCCTATTACTGCAGCAATCAACCAGTTGAAACACTTCTGGGTTCCAAATGCATAAGAGGCCACCAGCAGCTCCTGCTGAGTCAACTGCCATGAAATCCATTTGTTCTCTGCCCCAGATTGATATGACAAACTTTTCATCAATTGTGGATCTCTTGGTTTCTTGAAGTAGGACCATATCAACCCTTCTTGCACAAAACACTCGTTTAATCTTCCTCCTTTTCTCAGGCCTTCCTAACCCTCTTACATTCCAAGATAAAAGCTTCATTAAATAACATTTTTTCAGCTCCTAAACACCTAGAGCAGCTGCTTAACAAGCATCCCCACCCCTGTTCCTTATTTTATCCTTGTCATGAGCTTCCAAATCCATTAATTTACTAAAGACAACATCATCATCCCCTTCACAGTTCATACCAAGGATGCGCCCAATTTGGAGTGATGCCTTAGCCTCAGTGAGTAGCAGTCTCCGATTACTTGATTCAGGTGCCGCGGATAGTGAGACAGCTGCCACTGCCGACCTAAACACTGCGCCTTTCTTCAAATTTAGAGAAGTTCCAGCCTTTGATTTACCCCTTCGTAGACTACCTTTTTTCTTATGATACTTGGTAGAGGTTTCTTGTATTAGCTCCCTCTTGCTGGTTATTCTCTTCCGGATTGAATCTGCAGAAGAGCCCAATATCTCACTGCTAACCTCTTTTTCATTTCAGGCTAGTGTTTCTTTACCACTACACGGTTGGATAGAATCTTCTAAGTTGGATTGGGCCCCCAATGTTCTAAGATCAAGTGCTCTGTGGGTTTGTGTTACCACACAGTTCACTTCATGGGCTTTAGTCAAGACAACCTCAATGTTAAGCCCAGGCCTTATTAAATCAGATCCACTTAGACTTTTTAAAAGGCCTAGGTTTCTGGTATCATCAGCGACAGGCCTATTCACCCCATTTTGAGCATTGATAGAACTCATCACCAGAGCTACCTCCCTACCCACGCATGCGCCCCCAGAAATTGCTTTCCCCATGCCGCTGACAGTTTCACCTACTACAGACGAGCTCTTACAGCTAGCCTCCCCTTCCCTGCCATTATAATCATCATTTCTTGGAACACTAATCCTCCTGCTGTGTCTTCATTATCATCCACCTCATTGCCAACTTGTGCCTCCACGTCATTATCACCATCTTCCTTCTTACTCTCTGCACCCACCATCTGGGTAACTTCATCCCCATAAGAACTATGTTTAGCACTATTACCATGTTGATGGTGATAAATACAGTGTTTATTCACCACCTTCGCAATAACAATCTGATCTTCACAAACTTTTACCCGATAAAGTACCTCTTTGCAGTCCAAATTGATTGTTTTGTTGATGGATTCCACGCACTTCGTGGCTATTCTTACCTTGCCGCTGATCAAGTTTTCCATATTGGACGTATCATCAGCCAAACCAATCACTTCTCCCCCATAATCTGCCTATTGAATAAAAGGTGTTGTTGTTCCAAACATTTAAAGGCACCCCATAACAGCTTAACCAGACATCTCTTTCTTGTGCAATAGCCATCCCCTGTTTCCATTCTGTAACTGATTCAGACCATTCCTTAACCCAAACCTCCATTTGCTTGAGTTTTTCTCGCGTGCTTTCCACCGATGGAAATGATAGAACTGTGTCTTTGCCCCCTCCTTCTTGAACCTCAATATCCTCGAAGCCTCTATACCTCAGTTCTTTTTTGAAATCTACCCCACAACACATCGGTTTTAATCGCAAAATTGCACTATTGTACAGCCATCCATTCCCTGCTTCATATACTTTTACAATTAAAGGTGCACTGCCGACAGACCCTCTCCCACTTACAACCTGGGCAAAAGATTCCTTACCTTTTAGCTTTCAAGACACCAATCCCGTACCTCCCATCTCCTTTCTTTGAGTTAAGCTCTGTAAAGGCCTTTTCTGTGCGTCTACACGTCGACCAAACTCTGCAACTTTCACTGTCAACGCTCTGTTATCACACCACAATCCATTTGCTTTCTGGACTGCCATTCTTGCTGCGATTGTGCAGTTATATCTCACGAATCCAAACCTGGAGCGCGTCATCTTCCTTCTTTTATGTGGTATGAATACATCCTTTTGGTATGAATACATCCAGACATCTCTTCCTTCACCACTAGCACTTCCTTTAGCCTCTTGGTATGGAGTATATCACTTCTTTTTTGTTATAATTTTATATTACTGTTACTTAAATTGATACTCATGATGATTAATTCTGTGTTTAGAAATAATTATTACAAAAATAGTGCAAAATAAATAATATAATCGGTATTTTTTAATTATTCAAAATTTAGAAGATTATAGTACATAGGCCTTTTTTTTTGACCCAATACAAGTTTTTTAAAAAAGAACAAATAAGTCTTCACTTTTATTACTCTTCATTTTAGTTTAAAAGTTAAAAAAGTCATTATAAAAATTAAAAACTAACAAATATCTAAAACTCAAAGATTCATTTATAGTTACTCTACTTTTTGTATATCTTTTCGTAAAAAATTGAAAACTCATCTCCAACATATTAATTTTTTTCATATCATATTTTAATTAAAAAATCAAAAAATAACTAAAAAAAATCTATTCCCCGATGAGGCCTTAGTCTAACCACATGTGGCCTAACTGACTTATTTTTGGATCCAAAGAAATAACACATTTTGTATGCTTTGCAAATTTGGAGCCTTTACTAAGGGCCATTACTAAGGACCTTCACTAAATTGAATATACTATATCATTAAGGACATTAGGAATTTGGGATCTTCACAAATATGGATTTTAAATTGCTTAATACATAAGCTAGTTTTGAAATTAAAAAGTGCCTTATCATGTAAATATACGCTTTAAAAGTATCAAATCACTTTGAATTGAGTGGGTATATTTAGTCTAACTTTTAATAAGTTAAATGTTGATACTAAAAAAATGGAAATTCAAAACATCTCTTTTCCTGCTATTTAATAATAATTTTTCATGCTTAAGCTGTAAACAGAAATTGTACTAAACACTCAAGTACAAACTACACCAAACAATTGGGAATAATTTAAATATATATATATATAATTCATAAATTACACCAAATTGCTACCCATTAACATTATCATTCATCTTAATTATTTTGTAGATGTGAAGACACCCTAAACAATGAGACTTTTGAGATCAAAGCAACCTACGTAATTTATAGGATAAATTTGTGTCTATTAGAAATTGGGAGACAAAATTAAACATTTTTTATATATTGGGGACTAAATTGATACAATTTAAATATTGAAAACCAAATTAAAACACTCTTACACAATGGAGAGTAAAAACATAATTAACTATATATACACAACAACAACAACAACAACAACAACAACAACAATTACAATTGTAGTTTACCTGTTTTTATCTTCAGCTTCCGTTTGAAACAAGTATCTAAGTACACTTGATTGCTAAAAGTAAAAGTGAGAACTTTCAACATACATGTCTGTTTTCCACAATAAGAACAATGATTCTTATTCATCATACATTCAAATCATGTTTTAGTATCCAAAAGGCATGGAAATTTTCAAATTCATCGGCCACTATGGAGTAAACTACTAGACATGGAGTCTTGAAAACCCTTGAGAATCGATGAAGGAAATGACATAACGAATTCTGGAGACGCTTCATTACGAACACCAGGTGTACCAATACCAGCGATATCAAGAATTATATCATTTGGAAACAAGGCATCTCCATCCAAGTATTGCACCACTTGCCTCATACTAGGCCTTACCCGCTGCATTAGGGTGCGAGCAAAACAGACCTAACTTCAAAACCAACTCCATTTCCTCTTTCAAATATTCGCCTCTCAATCTAGGATCACTTGTCTCAAGAATAGCTCCTTGTTTCCAATTCTCAATAACCCAATCAATTAAAACCTTCTCTTCAGGCAATCCTTGTGTCTCTATAGGCTTCCGTCCACAAGCCACTTCAAGCATGAATGCACCAAAACTATACACATCGGTGCTTGTAGTTGCCTGGCCAGTTCTACTAAACTCCGGTGCAAGATAGCCCAGAGTGCCAACCACATTGGTAGTTTCTAGATTTTCTCCGTGATCATACAATCTTGCAAGCCCAAAATCTCCTAGCCGTCCATTTAGATCAGCATCAAGTAAAACATTACTAGCTTTCACGTCTCTATGAAGAACAACTTGCTCCCATTCTTCATGTAGATACTGAAGCGCAGACGCTACTCCTCTGAGGATTTGATAACGTTGAACCCAATTCAACTCTTGTTCGCTACCAAATAGGAACTTGTCAAGGCTTCCATTGGGCATATAATCATAAACCAAGAGAAGCTCTCCCTTTCGTCGACAATAGCCAAGGAGTCTCACCAAGTTCCTATGCCTTAGTCTTCCCATGCTAACAATTTCAGCCACAAACTCTCTCATCCCTTGTTTTGAATCATGGGAAATTTTCTTGACTGCAATTAGTTCCTTGGAAGAGGGAATTACTCCTCTATAAACCTTTCCAAAACCTCCTGCTCCAAGAAGTTCTTTGCTTTTGAAACCTTTGGTAGCTTTATAGAGAACCTTGTAGGAAAATCTTTGAGTGCCATATTCTTGTTCCCAATCTTCTTGTATATCTTCATATTTTTTCCTCCTCACACGGCAAACAATCACAATTATTGTGAAAATCAGCATAATGGACAATGATACCAGTGAGACTATAATTGCTATACCTGGTTTTCCTCTTGATTTTCTTTGCTGGGGAAGAGAAGGAAGCTTTGAAATTTCTATGCTCTTTGATGTCCCACTTTTGTTGAAGCTCCACCCAAGAATATAGTGGTTAGTTGCAGCTTCTCCAGTAGAGGAAGAGAAGCCAACATACATAGAATCCAAGAGGATTGGAGAAAGATCGATGGATGTTGACAAGAGAGGTCGATTTGGTTTGGGGCTTGGGATAGGAGCTAGTGTGACGTTGAGTAGGTTCTCCACTCCATCGTAATCTATCCAAACTTGTATTGGATTTCCACTTACGAGCGTCAAAGTCTTGTTTTTCCCTTCCCTACTGGAATAATATGAAGCAGTCGCCGAATCAATAGATGTTAAGTTGTTAACATCAATTCCAACATGATTGTTGTCTATGTCATTGAATTGTTCGTTCTTACTAGTATCAAGCTCAATTGCCAACAGATGGTTTGAAGAGAGACCGTTGTTGGTACTATTGAGGATTCCCAAGTATTCGGTTGTGAAAGCTCCAGTGAAGTTCCTAGATGGTGAGATGGTAAAGGCAATTCCATGACCATTAGCAGTATTTTCAGGAACCATAATGAAGACAAAATTGGTGGAAAATGAAAGGGTTTGAGGTAAGGAATCATTGAATTTTATAGGAAGTTGGTAGAAAGCATGGCCAGATTGTTTCTCGGAAGTGTTGGTGAGCTGCAATAGACCATTGGGGTGGATTTGTGCAAGCCCATCAAGATGAAGATTGGCTCCTTGGAAGCCATTGTAGATGAATTGGTTTTCATCTTGAGCTAAGACCAGGGTTTTCAAGCATACATAGAAAAGTAGAAGAGCACAATTCTTTATAAGCTTTCCTAGCAAGATGCATACGAAAATCTCTCTGAATTCTCAGACAAGAAGCTTCTCTCCTAATGTTCTCGTAAAGTTCCCGAGCAAGCTGTCCTGTAATCAGCACAAGGAAAAAATCATTGAGTTATATACTTTCAAGACCTCAGCAATGAGCTAATTAAAGAAGTTCAGCTGAAAAGACACATCTAACACAATTATGCAGAAGGGGGCTGGGTGAATGGGGGGTCCCAAGTACCTATATATCACATATACACTATCTAGGTGAAGTTCTCATGCGAAGAAGATGGAGTGATACATATATATGAAGTTCTAGTGACTCTGTATAATAATTCTATTATATGAAATAAAGGTTTGCATTAGTGTTGACAAAAAAATCAATTTTTATTTTTCAAAAACGCCCTTATATAAATGCATGGGCAATTGTAACTGTTAGATTCAATCACAAATCTGAGACTGCCAATTTAAGCATATCCATATGGGCATGCACAACTTCTAGTAGATATATATATATATATAGGTAGTAATAAAAGGGGTATTTGTAATAATGAAGGGTGTAGAAGAGGTAGTGAAGGCCTTGGTCACTGGGTGTATATGTAGTAATGAAGTGGGTACTGTAGAGGAGAGAGGGAAATATAGAAGAAAATGGGAGGATAGAGAAAATGTTTACTGTAATGATGGTGGCATGAAGGTAGGGTTAGATATGCGCAGATTTCCAAACCAAAAGGGGCTTGTGTATTTTCAAATCACCAAACCACAAGGGAGTAAAGTGCAATTAACCCAATAGCTAATTGCCTATTGAAGTTGGGAAACAAGGCTTTGATCAAATGGAACTTATTGGCTGCCATTGTGATGTACACACCATTGAATTTGTCAAAGGCACCAAACCACATAATGATTACTGAAATAAAATTGAGCATTGGGCTTATTTTGTCGAATGTGCCAAGCCACTTTGGGCATTGAGCATGCCAAAGTCACATGGGATTGGACTTTTGGGCAAGGGCACATAAGGCCTTTGGGATTTGTCTAAGGGTACTGCCTCGATTAATCACAGCTTTAGCCTCCGTTTGGAAAGTGGATTGATTTTTTGGCTTTTTTAACTTTTTTGGCTATTTTAGTCTGGGCTAAAAAGCTTGGTTTAGGAAGGGCTTTCTAGCTTTTTTGATTTTTTTTGTGAGAGAAGAGTGTAATGATTATGGGTTGGATGTGATGTTTTGTTTTTTGTGACTAAAATAGCCTATTTTGTCTTTTGTGGCTAAAATAACCAAAAAAGCCCGGAAAAGCCCTTCCCAAACGGACCCTAAGTAAGCCTTTAAAGACTGATTGGGTCACATGCTCATAATTTGAATGCCCAAATAAGCTTGATCAGTGAGTGGGTTGGGCATCATGGATCAAATTCAGAGTTATATGTTGAACGTCAAATATCAATGGGTCAGGTACTTCAAATAATGAACTGAATGTCGAATGTTAATTGGGCTTGTATCTCAATACCAGTTTTGGCCCATTAACTCTTTAATAACCCAATATACCCCTTAAGACCCAATTACCGCATAGGTAAGTATTTTATCAAGAGCAAACCATTTCCAAATGTTGTGTGACCTTATAATAATTAGCCACATGTTGTGATATCATTTGATGCGTCTTCTTGTTCCAAATGTGACACCAACACAAGTTTTTTTGGTATGAATTTCTATCAAACTACAAGACTACGAGGCATCAACACTACAAAACAAGTGTCATAGGAGTGTCGGACACAAGGACATGATGAAGACATGTATGGAACACGCCACGTGCCGTGTCCCTTTATTTAATTAATTTATTTTCAAGGGACAACGGAGACATGCGAACTAGTTTTCTTCCTTCTTTCCTTCAGATGTTAAGTGTTTATTACTTTTTGTTTAGATTTAAATACTTAATAGATCGTCCATAAAAAAAGATAAAAACTTTTTAAGTGTTAATATAACATGGTATCAAAACAAAAGTTAGAAGAGGTCCTAGATTCAAGTCTCAATAAAAAAACTAATCCAATCTCTTGTGAGATTAGAAAAGGTTAAGTTAAGCACACATTTAATAATTCCACTAGAACTTTGACGCTAAAGTCATATAGGATACCAAAATAAAATCATAGTACGTGGTACATCAAACACCACTCAAGACATGAGTCTATGGTTGAAAATCTGATTGGGTACTGTTGCAGCTTCAATTGTTAAATATTAAAATACCTATCTAAAACATTTGAACTACAAAAGGTGACCAATTTGTTCATCAAAATAAGCATCTGTTTTGATCAATTAAGTTGGTGAGGCAACAAAATCCATGAAAGCAAGCAATCACATTGGAAGACATTCATAGGTCATTCTTGGTTAAAGTCTATATACCTTAAAATACAGCCCATGTTTGTTGACACTGTTTGGGTCACCATAACAAATGGCCAGTAATTTTCCCACTTCGAACTCTCCAGAAGGAACCTTAGAGCCATCATCAACATCATCATCACTGTCCAAGCTGTTTTGTTCAGAATTGGAATCTTCTGATTGATGGGAACCCAACAATTGAAATTCTTTACAAAGCTTTTCCCACTCCTTAAGCAAAGATAGGAAATCTTCTGCTGCTTCATTTCTCACCTATAATCATTTTGGACTTGTCCTTGATAAATATATATATATATATATATAAATTACTAATAAAAAAAGTAAAGGAAAGGGAACAAATATACTACCTCAGTTTCAGGATGGTTCAACTTTAGACTTTCGCATGCATTAGAATTTATATCCACAGCCCACCTCTAATAAACAAATACAAATAAAACATATATAAGCCTTTGCATGGAAGAGTGCATAGAAGAACAAGTTTTACAAAAATCACATTTACAATCACTTCATGACTTACAGTAACCAGTTTCAAACCAGATACGGATGCTCCAAGGCAGAGACCAGTTGACATGGCTCCACATCCAGAGTATAAATCTAGTAAAGTCATCCGATACTCTTGACATCTAGAAACTTGGGAAGACTTTGCAGCGTCAGTTGTCTCCTAGTGCACTATTTGAACTAGCTTCACTTATTGAGGATGCATCACTATCCATCTTTAAGTTTTCTGGATTTGCTGAAGCAGACAACATCTATTAGAAGAATTCATTTTAAAAAATGATTGTAGTCCTTGGGTAAACATACTAACCTGTAGCTGTATCTAGAGTTGTAAACGAAAAGTGTGGCAATGAATATGCCATATCATAATACAAGTCTGAAGACAAAAGTATTCTCTTTTTCAGCCAAGTCAGCCTGTTTCACAGAGAAAACATTTCAGAAACTTGGAAAGCAATAAACAGGAACAGAGTTTTAGAAACACACACACACAAACAGAGACAAAAATAATCATAAGAATAAAAACAAACAGACAAAGATATCAGTAGCCAGAAGTAAGTGATGGTCATACTTTTGCCGCAAGTTGCACAATTTTCACTTTTGACACAATGGAATTCAATGGATTGTCATCTCTTATGTCTGAGTAAAACACTCGTCTTTTATCAATGAGGTCAGATTGGTTCTTAATTACCTGGAAACAACCAAATACATAAATAGAATAATGCACATGTATAACATCCATTTCATAATTTCATTTAATAGCATTTAATATTGTGCTGTTAAATTACATGAGAATTTAAAAAGTGAAAAGTAATAGTTAGGGGTTAAATTATAAAAAATAGTTCCTAAGATAAGTAGTGTGAAAAAAACAACAAAAAAAAAATGTTTAATGTGCACTTTTATCATTTGTACCAAAAATAAAACTTCAATTTATATTATTCCAATTTCCCTTGTAATAAAAGACCATCATTCCTTACTTTGATAAGACTACTAGATTTCTTTTTGCTGAATGTAAGTTCTATGATAGAGTTTTTGCATATGCTTTACTGGAACTCAATATAGACAATTCCTAAAGTATATAATTTTTGTAGATATAAATATAGAACTTTATTCAGTTATTTCCATACAATATAATTTAATATAATCAATTCAATCATAGAACCTCACACAGATCTAACCTAGACGGTCCTTGTTGGAATATGTGAATCCTGTATATTGTATGAATCCAGTATATTGTGTGATTACGGGATTTTAGGCATATTTCCTTATATTTGATTTTATTGTTATTCTACCTTCCTAAATTGTAACCTCCTCAATTCAGTATATATATATACACACGAGGATAATCATATATTGTGATTAAGCCATTCAATTTATTATCTTCTTATGTCCTGACAAGAAGGTGGATAAATATTATAACATTTAAGAGGTGAACCTCATTGACAAAACTTGAGCAAGAAACTAGACAATTCAATCTTCAGATGCAGGGCAAATCAAAGCAAATAACATAGGAAGTAAAACATAATTGTAGCAATTAAAGACTCACCGCTAATAACTTTAATGAGTGTAATGGCACAACCCGATCATCATGATCAGTTGTCAATAACATGGTAGCTGGGTACTGAGAAAACTGATCAGAGGATTGTTCCCATGGTCTGCTAACATTATGCAGTGGCGAGCACCTGAATAGAAATTTTAACAATGGAAAATATTCAAAATGATAAAATAGTTACCCAACTACCCGTCTGCTGAAAACTTACGAGTGATGAAAAGCTAAAAGAAAAAGCAACCCAGCTCAAAAATCAAACGAGAACTGACTACTTGCTAACTGATGATGGATAAACAAGCACGGGAAATTGGTCTATGATTCTCCATTAACTTCAGTGAAAGTTGAACCAATAAATAACAGTCATTAAGAGCCACACGCTAAGACACAGAACTAAATGAGTTTACTCAAGACTTGCCAAAAAAAAAAAAAAACAGATACTTAAATAATACATAGAACATATTTTTCATTTAACAAAGTATGCAAGTCAACTGCATTTTAGTATTACTAAAATGTAATTTGAAAGTTGGAAATGAGGAATAATTTGTGATTAATAGGTGAACGCCAAACAATAACAGAAGTAAATAACTTACTCGAGATTAACTAACATATTTTATATCAAACCAAAAAAATATCTAAAAAATTATAATTTCAAAGTAAGAACATTATACAGGCAGATAATTCAATGAAAGTAAATTCACTCACCTGATAAGCCAATGGAACTCTTCCTCCTCTGAGCAGCCAAAGTCACATGTCCATCTATGACCTAGAAAAGAAACCTAAAAATCAACAAGTGATACTAAAATAAATCAACCAAGTGAACCCACAGATTGCTAGCTGACCTATAGTGAATTTGTGAAATCTAACCATATCCATAACACCAACATGAGCAAGAGCACAACCAAAAAGATTAGGTCTCTGTAACCACAAATTTTTACAATTTAGTTTATAGACACGATGTATTATGACAAATGAATAAACCCAAAAAATGCCACCAAGAAAATGAATCAACACCGCTATACCTGATTAATGCAAGCCCCAATAAGAAGCCCACCGTTGCTTCCACCTTCAATACACAATTTTTCTCTGCATCGTTGAGCTTCTACTCACTGTTTCCAACGATCCACATCCAACGCCACCTGCTTGTCCCGTACATGATCAGAGACACTAACATCGTACTCGAAACCCTAGATAAATCGATTCACCATTGTTGCTGCTCAATCTGATGAAAGAGAAGAGTTTTCCACACAAGGACTAGAAAGAGTAAAGCAACAAAAACGAAAGGAGAAAACACAAAACAAAAGCAAAAAAAGCTGGAAATCAACTAAATCAAGAGAAAACAATTCCAAATCGTTAGATTTAGCCATGAAATTTTATAGATCTTGTGTGAATGTGGCAAATCTATATCAGAAAACCCTAACCTTGAGCCCTAGATCGATTAAGATCATAGGGATTCAAACAATCTGGAAGATATACGCTCCAGAAAACCTAACCTGTAGCCCTAGATCGATTTAGACCATAGGGATTCGAACAATCAGGAAGATATACGCTCAAATCAAGAGTAGAACAACATTTTTCAGATCAAACAACCGAAGAATTGATGGAGATCGAAGAGATCGAAGATCCGATGCCTCGAAGATCCAACGCCTCGATTTATCTCTCTTCCTAAAGTCATGCCTCTGTTCGATCAGAATAGAAGACGTAGCCTTGAGTTGAGCCACTGTTTAAAGGAAATAACCGGCCCACAAAACGAGATGGTTTAGTTTAATTTTTTTAAAATTTAAAAAATCTGGACAAATTTCACGACGTTTTTGAAAACGCCATAAAAAAAACGTCACTGTATGTCGGTTTTCTTGTAGTGAAGCCCAAAATCTCCTAGCCATCCATTTAGATCGGCATCAAGTAAAACATTGCTAGCTTTCACGTCTCTATGAAGAACAACTTGCTCCCATTCTTCATGTAGATACTGAAGCGCAGACGCTATTCCTCTGAGGATTTGATAACATTGAACCCAATTCAACTCTTGTTCACTACCAAATAGGAACTTGTCAAGGCTTCCATTGGGCATACAATCATAAACCAAGAGAAGCTCTCCCATTCGTCAACAGTAGCCAAGGAGTCACACCAAGTTCCTATGCCTTAGTCTTCCCATGCTAACAATTTCAGCCACAAACTCTCTCATCCCTTGTTTTGAATCATGGGAAATTTTCTTGACTGCAATTAGTTCCTTGGAAGAGGGAAGTACTCCTCTATAAACCTTTCCAAAACCTCCTGCTCCAAGAAGTTCTTTGCTTTGGAAACCTTTGGTAGCTTTATAGAGATCCTTATAGGAAAATCCTTGAGGGCCATATTCTTGCTCCCAATCTTCTAGTATTTCTTCATATTTTTTTCTCCTCACACAACAAACAACCCCGAATATTATGATAATCAGCATAGTGATTGTTGTTACCAATGGACTATTGCTATACCTGGTTTTCCTCTTGATTTTCTTTGCTGGGGAACAGAAGGAAGCTTTGAAATTTCTATGCTCTGTGCTTTCCCACTTTTGTTGAAGCTCCATCCAAGAATATAGTGGTTACATCTACCTATTCCGATAGCAGAAGAGAAACCAACATACATAGAATCCAAGAGAATTGAAGAAACATTGATGCGCATTGATAAGAGAGGCTGAACTGGTTTCAGACTTTCGATGGGAGCTAGTGTTACATTGAGTTTCACTCCATCATAATCTATCCAAACCTGTATTGGTTTCCCACTTTGGAGTTCCAAGCTCTTGTTTATTCCTTCACTACTAGAATAATATGCAGCATGCTCCGATACATTAGATGTTAAGCTGTTAACATCAATTCCAACATGATTATCATTTATATCATTCATTCCAAAGCTCTTAACAGTATCAAGCTCAATTGCCAACAAGTGGTTTGAAGGGAAGCCGATGTTGGTGTTATTGAGGAGTCCCAAGTACTCGCTTGCCTGAGCTTTTGTGAAGTCCCTAGATGGTGAGATGGTAAAGGCAATTCCATGACCACCACTAATATTTTGTATTTCAGGAACGATAGCAAAGACAAAATTGGTGGAACATGAAAGGGTTTTGGGTAATCCAGATGAGGATGTATTGAATCTTATAGGAAGTTGGTAGAAAGCATGGCCAGATTGTTGCTGAGAAGTGTTGGTGAGCTGCAATAGACCATTTTGAAGGATTTGTGCCAGCCCATCAAGATGAAGATTGGCTCCTTGGAAGCCATTGTAGATGAATTGGTTTTCATCTTGAGCTAAGACCAGGGTTTTCAAGCATACATAGAAAAGTAGAAGAAAATGAACAGGTTTTGGAGTGGTAGTCATTTTACGAAAGTAGGAAAGCTTGATCCTTGCAAAGATGGATGAGCTAGTATTGATTTTTTATTTTGTTTTGTTTTGGTTTGGTAATGTTTTTCTTTGTTTTCCTTTATATTAGATTTTGCGGTTCAAAAATCAGGGGATTTTGACAAGTTTAACAAGGAAGGAGTCAACAACCTTGCATATAAGTTCAACTAAAATCAGGGCAGGCCTTACCCTTAGGCTCGCTGCCTTAGGCCTCACCCATGTGAGAGGCCCATAAATATGTGTAAGCCTCGTAAGAACTCACCATTTTAATCTAAAATCCGAAAAGATATTAAAAATATTAAAAAATCAACAAATTTTTAATTCATACAAACAAATTAAAATTTTCTTTTCGTTCACTTTACTTTTTGTATATATTTTTTTATTGTAAAAAGTTAAAAAATTATTTCTAAACATATTAATTTTTTTAATCTCATATTTCATCCAAAAAACCACTAAAAAATATTGTTCTCAACTGAGACCTTAATTGCTTTTATGCAAAAGCCCCTTTTTAATGCATAATTCTTTTTAATCGTTTACTTTTTTCTGTCTCTATTAGGGATATAAGCCAGTTCAGTTTGATTCAATTAGAGCTAAAGAAAATTTATCACTAAATCAAACCCTTCAATTTTATTGGTTAAGGAACTAAAAACAATTACATATATGGTTCAATTTTATTAATTTCTAATTTGGTGTAAATAAGGGGCTCACAAAAAACTTTAATGTTGTGTTTGGTTCAAGAATTTAAAATGATATTTTGAAAGGGAAAGGAAAAAATATGGTTAAATGTAAATAAGATATACTTATATTTTACCTAATTTCATATACATTTTCTTTATCAAATCTATCTCCAAATCCATAAATCAAACACAACCTAAGGTTGCATTTTTATCATAGATTTGGATAGGAATTTAGAAAAAAAAAAAAAAAAAAAGGGGGGAAAAAAATGATTTTTTTTTTTTTTTTCAAATCCTTATCCACCAATTTTATGTTCCAAACATAACGTAAAAGTTGAGTAAAATCTAGAGAATTACACATCAAGAAGGGAAACCTTACTGTGTGCACCCTTTTAGAGGTGCATACCATGTGCACCCTAGCACAAAATTTGTAATTTTATCATAAAATCTCGTAATATCAATTACAAAATACGTAACCTCGAAAAAATTGGCGTAACAAAAAAGTGTCGTAACAAAGTCACAAACTTTTGCAACATTAATCATAAAATTTTAGACATTTTGTTAAATCAATTTGTGACTAGATTATAGATTTTGTAATTGATATTATTAAATTTTATGATAAACTTACTTATTTTAGTGGTAGAGTGCATATGATGGGCATATTCCCGAAATGAAATTGTAGGAATATACAATGTCTTACATTCTAGTCATTTATCTTCTTATATTAAAAAATATATACTATTGAAAAATGTTTTTAAAATAATTATTGATATATATAGTAGACCTAATTATTTCTTCAATTGAGAGTAAGTTTTAACAATTGAAAAAGTATAAGATCATTTTACATCACAAAAATGACAAACATAATTTCACATGAAAATAAAATAATAAAAATTATTATTAATATTTAGATATTAAAAGGCTTTAAAAGAGTTGGGCCTCCGTGACTAATAACTTGACTATTCAATATTCCATATTCCAGTTTAGTTTGCAATTATTCTTTGATACCAGAA